CTCATTTTGGTCATTTTGCTTCTTTTTTTAGTCTCTGTGGTTGTTGATGATTTTGTTTTGGCCATTTCAACTTCATATTTTGATCATTTTGCGTCTCTTTAAAGTTCATTTTAGGCCTGTTTTGGTCATTTCGGTTCGTTTTGTGTCTAGATTCGGTTGTTCTACGTTGAGTTTTGGGTGTTTCGTGTCCTATTTTAGTACTGTTGCGCCTCCTTGTGGTCATTTTAAAGTCATTTTGAGCCTCATTCAGGTGATTCGTCAGAAAACAGTTCTGTCCTGCTCCGGTAAGCCGAAGGATACCCACCGTGGGCGTGAACGGCGGGTCGATGGTTCCGTGTCGGAGTCCGTCCCAGTTGAAACCCTCGAACCACCTGCAGGACAAAGACACGTTGCCATGACAACAGCCTCCTCCACCTGTGGGAGGAGCTTCGTCGTGTTCAGGGTCTCACTTGTGCTTCTGGATGTCCTTCACGCCGTTCTTCTGGTTCCCGAGCCTCTCCGAAGGGTTGTCCCTGACGAACACACAAACACACCGAGTTAACGCCGAGACGGGCCGCGGGTCCGACGGAACCTGAGCCGACGGGGCCAGAACCTGCACAGGCGCTTGATGAGGTTGGCGGCGCTCTTGGTGATCTTCTTGGGGAACTCGATCATGTCGATGCCTCTCAGGATGATGTTGTAGGTCATCATCGGGTCGGAGCCTGAAAACGGAGGGCTGGAGACGGAACCAAGTCCGGTTTATTACACAGGAAACGAACAGAACCGATGTAGATCCACAGTTCAGATGATTAAACCGACGATTAGGAGCCAAATTATTAGGACAAGGTCACATCTACAGGATGTCAGGGAGGAAATATTAACTTCATATGAGAGTTACATCAAAATAAGACACAGAAGAGCTGAAAAAACACACAAAAGAGATGCAAAATGATCAAAACAAGACGTAAAATGGCTAAAATTAAAATGTAAAATAAACAATACGAGACACAAAAACAACCAGAGTGAGACAGGAAACGTTTCTATGAGAGAAAAATCTGTTTGTTATTCAGAAAAGTTGTGATTATTCTTTCCTGTCAGCTGATGTCGGCCACATTGATCCACAAGTAGAATCAGTCGAACTGCTTTATGTCTCACTCTGGTTGTTTTTGGATCTTTTTCTATCGTTGTTTTGTGTTTCACGAACCATTTTGCATTTAGTTTTAGCCTTTTTATGCCTCGTTTTGATCATTTTCCATCTCTTTTATGTTATTTTATGGCTTTTTTTTGGTCATTTTGTGTCTCATGTTGATGATTATATTGTAATTATTGATAATAAGTTTGCTTAGTCATTCATAAACGGTGTTTCTATCTCACATGAAGCTCAAAAAGTCTTCAGATTAGAATTAGAAACTTAAAAATGCACATTAGACCCATATGTGTTGATGGAAACATGGCAGCTGTTTTCTATGTTTGAATGCAATGGTTGCCGGTTGACATGTTCAGCGACACGAAGCAGAAGGTGTTCAGTGAACGCCACATCTTCATGTTTTTACAGCGTTTGGAGGCGGCTGGTCGAACAGTCTCCTTGTTGCTATTGAACATCTACACGTCCTCCAGAGACGCTGGAGTCGTGACGTGATGCCGACATGTTGAACATAAAGCGTGTTTACCTCCCACTCAGCAGCTCGAACACCAGTATTCCCAGAGACCAGCAGTCGGCCGAGCTGTCGTGGCCTTTGTTCAGGATGATCTCAGGAGCCACGTACTCAGGAGTCCCGCAGAACGTCCACGTCTTCTTCCCCAAACCGACCTTCTTCGCAAAGCCAAAGTCCACCTACCAGAAAGAAACAGACCTGAGCTTTGGCTTCTTGGACGTTTTGACCCCTATTAGTCTGATGAATGTGACAGCCTCACCAGCTTGGCGTATCCTCTGTGGTCCAGGATGATGTTCTCGGGTTTGAGGTCCCTGTAGATGATTCCTCTGGAGTGCAGGAGGGCCAGAGCTTCGATGACGCAGCCGGTGTAGAACCGGGTGGTGCTGTCATCGAACGAACCTCTGAAACAGAAACAGTACGGTGCTGGACCTCAACGTTCTGATAAAACTGTTCAGACATTTTTCCCTTAAACAGTTTCCCTTAAAACTGAGTGTTTGTGGGATCTTTTTCTGTTCACAGGTGAACCACTCACCTGTCTCGCAGCAGCGACCACAGTTCTCCTCCGAGACAAACCTCCAGCAGCATGTACAGATACTTGGAGTCTCTGAACGTACGATACAACCTGCAGGACGACAACAGAATCTGCTAAACAGTAAGATTTAAACATCCCATATTCTGCACATTTACAGATTTATTTTCTACGAGAACGTCGTGAATGATTCAAACAACACATTATGTTTCTAAGGAGCTGGTGGAGACCAAAAATGGAGCTAAAACAAAGTCAATATTGGTTTTTCATTCATAAATTCAAGTCGTGGATCTTTGTCTCTGTAATATGCAAAAATAAGAAAGAAAATCTGAGCTCTTGGCACCGTTTGGATCCTTTAAAGACGTTAACTAAATGAATGAACCTGATGATGAAGGGGTTGTGAGCCTCCATCATGATGCGGCGCTCTGACAGGATGTGACCCTGCTGGCTGGTGTCCATGATGTGACGCTTCTTCAGCACTTTGAGGGCGAACGAGCGGTTCGGATCGCTCTTCAGCTGGACCTGAAAACGCACAAACACATGGACGGATAAAAGCATAAAGCAGCGTCTTGAAACACTCGAGTAGAGACTCACCAGCTCCACCCGGCTGAAGCCTCCCATCCCCAGAGTGGAGATGATGTTGAAGTCGCTGAGAGAAACGCTGGAGAAGAAATCTGCTTCTGCCTGACGTCTGCACAGAACGAGACATAAAGAAGTTCAGTCTGGGGCGGAAGAAGTATTGACATCTCTAAGTTAAAGTACTTCGTAAAAATACTCCTTTACAAGTATAATGTAATTTACCTGCTGCTTCAGGAGCTCATTAGTCACCATGTCATGCTGCTAATATTTACTACTAATTATCATTATCAAGTCATCTGCTCATTAAGTTTGTAAAACTATAGAAAATAACGACAATAAAAAGACCACAGTGTTTGTTTTTTCCAACCAATAAGTAAAAGTTTTCTTAAAAGCTCAGAAAATCCTTGAAATATTTAAATGTTGACATCTTTTAGTACCAGACTTCATTCAAAATATTCCAGATTTTAGATGTGACTTTATTTCATCCTTGTGTTGCTGCACAGACTTCAACCGTACCAAAATCAATTCAGGATATTTACAAGTATAGACTTGGCTTTATGAAGTTCTTCTACGGCTGCAGAGACTTCTATTGCACCACAGTTTATTCAGAATTTTGCAGATTTTGCACATTTATTGATTCAGTCTTTGTGTGGCTGCACAGTTTATTTTTAACACCAATCTTCATTCAACATGTTTGCAATTTTAGATCTGATTTTATCCAGTTTTTGTGTGGATGCAGAGACTTTAACGGCACCAGACTTCATTCAAAATATCCCAGATTTTAGATGTAACCTCATTCCGTCCTTGAATGGCTCCATACACAACCACAGTGCCAGGCTTTGTTCAGAATATTCACAATTGTACATTTAACTTTACTCAGTTCTTGTGTGGCTGCACAGACTTTTATACCTCTGGGTTTCCTTCAAAATATTCCAGTTTTTAGACCGAACTGTGTTTCGTCCTTCCAGGGCTGCACAGACTCCTTTTGGTACCAGACGTCATTGAAAACATTCCTGATTTAAGCTTTGACTCTTTTCCAGCCCTGCATGTACATCTATAGCACCAGACTACATTCAGAAATGTCCAGATTTTGGACGTGACTTTATTCAGTTCTTATGTTTATCCACAGACTTTAATACCAAACTTCACTCAAAATATTTTAGACTCGATTTAAATCCTTGTATGGCCGCTTCCGTTTATCCCTCTGATTATTAGTCAGATAAAGCTTCTCAGCACTTTATTAGCTCGATAAAATCCTTGCTGAGTGCATAAGGACGTTTTTACAAGCAGCCTGAGTTTATGGGAATAAAAAGTAAAGGTGGACTCTCTCCATGCAGCTGTTACATAAACCTCTAAATTCAGAAGCACAAACGCTGTATTGCAGCGTGTCCTTGGACTCACTTGGCCTTGACCTCGTCGCTGTCGCACTGCTTGTTGCTGCCGTCATCCAGACCGCCGATCAGCTGTTTGAAGGACCTGAAACGTTCAGAGAGAGACGAGCGGCTGAGAACCAGAGAACCAGAGGCTTCACCACCGAGTCAGACTGGTTTTAATGGTGAACACAGATCCACACTGACTCTCTGTCGATGACCAGACAGGTGACGTCGCCCACGGCCGTGACGCTCGCTGTACGAACGTCCTCACTGCAACACAAGGACAAAGTCTGTTGGGCTGCAACGTGCTGTCAGCGAACGTTCAGCTTTTCAAGATATATGGAACCCTCGAGGTGTTCCTCAAAGAGGTTCTGTTGACAGGTTTGAAGGAATCATTGCTTTATGTGAATGTAAACACTTCTGTTTACCTGCAGCCTCGGTGTTTGTTGTGTTTGTGTTTCTGTCAGCGGTCAGGATGTTGTTGGTAATCACTGTGTGTGACATTAACACACTTATAATGACTTGTGTGGTTCCATGTCTGTGTTTGTGTTTCACCCTTTCAGAGCCTGTTCTCCAAACCAGTCTCCTTTAGAAAGAGTCTTCACGGCCGCCTCCTCGTCATTGGCTGAGATCTGCTGAGAGACTTTCACCTGTGGACATCACAGACATTCAGCTACCGCACCAAAGTACAAGATGAAGGTATTCCTCCCTACACCTGCCTCCTCTGTCATCACTTCCTGTTAGCCTCCTCCC